CGCGGGACGCGTAAAAACGTCTAAATTGCGCGTAAATAATTATATTTGCATATTCATTGAAAGGTAAATATTTAATGCCGACGAGGCAGAAAGGGGCAGCGTGAAGTGTAACGTATATGTGTAGAAAGAGAGGAGAGGTCCAGGAGTTCGGGGGAGGAAAAAGGAGGAATAGGAGGAGAAGGAGGAGGAGGAGGGTTTCTCGTTGGTGCCGTTGGCCGGCCACCGCGCACACGAGTCAGCCGGAGGAAAAGGGGTTGAATATACATCGCGGATCGTTGGAAATTTTAGCTTAATTTTACTTAACTACACCGGCTCCGTTTCCCCCCCGACATTGTGTGGGGTGGTTGCTACAGGGACAAGTGTTATTTTTGTAATTCCGAGCGGCGCTAATGGGAGGGAGACCTTGGCTTAACTCCCGACGGCTAACAAAAGAGAGTGTTTACCGCAAACGATGGTTACACGAATCCATAAGAGAAAGTAACGTTCTATCAAGTCACGTGGCTCCCATAAAAGTGGAAACCAACAGACCGAGATTACACTGAAAGCAATCCTACATCGTGTATTATGACAATTTACTATCAAAATTGTCATTGGTTTTTATCTCAATTTATGTTACATTACCGATAGTGAAATTATTTCTAAAACGTTGGTTGAAATATGAATAATAAATTAAAGGAAGTTCATAAGTTTGAACGTATCGTGGCGCGTATCGTATCGCTACACGAGCTTTTGGTTAGACATCAGGTAGAGGATGCGAAAAGGGATGCTTGATGAAATTCCAACGGAAAGTAAAGCGAATATCGAGCCTCGCAAGTTACATCGAAGAAGGAGGAGGAAACGGAAGAAGAGGGAAAGAGGAGAAAGAGAGAGAGAGAGAGAGAGAGAGAGCGAGAGAGAGAGAGAGAGAGAGAGAGAGAGGCGCGTATCGAGCGTGAATATTACATCGATCAGAGTTTGATGAGGGGTAAAACCAGAAGGTGGGTGGGGGTCAGATATCAATGGGAGGGATGATGTCGCCTATTATCGAACGAAACACCTGAGCTCTGCTCAAGGATCCTCCTCTCTCTCTCTTTCTCTCTCTTCTCTGCCTTCATGTACCCAACACTCATTGACTATATGAAAACGAACACGTACTCCGGCTGTTGACTGCGGCCCGGGGCTTTGCGGTGAAATTACACGGGTTCTCGTATTATCTGCTCCTAAATTATTCTCCGCTTACCACAAAAATACCTTTCCGCAATGGTTTCCCCTCTTCGTCGAGGCTCACTTTCTCTTACCGAGCTTTTCTTTCCTCTATTTTAGGCCCATTTATCAGCGATCCATGGTTATAACCACATTGTCCGTGTATTTAAGTCGATACGTTGTCGTACGCGAAAAGTTAACAAGATTTTTAAGAATACAAAAACAAAAAAAATGTGTATTTTAAAAGAGAAAAATTAGATAGAATTTTTGATTGGTCGTATCGCGTTTTATCGCGATTGAACGAATGGATAACGATCACATCGAAATAATTAAAAATTACTAATGATCTATTTGATACTTAAATATATGCGTATATTTATATTTATATACGTAATAAATCTTAAGGATATTATAAACCTATCCACGATAGGTCGGACGGGCATTAGTTACGCATAAGTGAATATTGACGAATGTTTGGTTAGGAAAACGTGTTCTGTCCGAGCATGATGGACGTTTTCGGAGGCAAAAGTTGAGCCTGGAGAAACAACTGCTACTCCTGGTATCGGCTACCGAGTTTCCATTTGACAAGAGATGGATGATCCTATTCCCAGTATAGCTATCTGCTTTAAGCTATGAATATCCAGGGAATAGTTCATTATCGTTTTAACTAGTTTGAGTTATAATAATAGCTACGTGATGCACGGTAGAGATGAATCCTTTAATGCGCTTTCAAGAAAATATTTAACTTTCCCTTTAAATCGTATCGTCGTCCTGAGTAATAAATATTTTCGCGGGGGGGGGGGGGGAATAAATTTAACACTAAGGCAACAATAATTTCACGGGTTCTAACGAATCGTTGGATTCTTAAGCTTGGACGTGGTATCGTAATAATAATAATAAAAAAAATCATCATCACACGAACACACCAGTATCAACGACGACGAGTTTGAGTCTAGGTAAAAGTTGCGAAAAGAAATAGCCGAGTGGCCATCACACGTACGATTCGATAAAAGATGGATGATCATACGTCGTAGCGTATAGTCGATCGGTCTCCGAGCTGACGCCCTCGAAGATGAAATGCACCCTAGGCGACCTCGGGATCGACCCTAACACCCAACCATCTACTCTCTCTCTCTCTCTCTCTCTCTCTGTCTCTCTCTTTAGCTTTCTTTTCTTTGCATTTCGAGAACACTCCGATAGGCAAAAGCATATTTACGAGAAATACGCGTGCCTGACTCCCGTTGGATGCCTCTCGTCCACCCCCATGGATATGCGCAATTTCGAATATAAATTTGGCCATATGTAACGCCAAGAAATGTTTATTGATTCAACTAAGGGTTATTAGGTACGCGCCTAACACGATCTTTCCAACATAACCAGTCGTATCACGTACTAGAACCTATAAGATCTATCGAAATCGTTTAGAAGGATACGAAACTTAAGTACAATACATTTTCAAAGCTCGTGGATTATACTTTCTTTCTTTTTTTTGTTTGTTTCTTTTTTTTTTATTTTTGATATCATATTTATCAACCCGAATAAACTCTACGACTATACATTAAAGAATAAAACGAACGAAAATCAAATAGGATTTATATTCGTATTATCCGATTGAAATCTTAGTATTTTGTTATATTATGTTTTATGTTTTTATGAGATAAATAAACCAACACAATTGGATCCTGACCTAACGAGAATATACGAACACGAACCAAGATGACCAACAAAAACATCCACCTCTTTTTCTCGTGAGATTTCTCTACGACGATAGAGCAGTACATTATTTCTCGATGTCAAATAAAGCAATTAGCATGTACCCTGACCAGTGTCCATGGGTTCTAACCCGAGTAATCTCGCCTAGGTCCCTGGCGTGCGCGACATCTTCATCAGAACCAGACCCTTTCCCTTTCTTCCTCTCTCTCTCTCTCTCTCTTTCTCTCTGTTTCTCTCCCTTCTCAAACAGTCTTTACACCATTACCCCTTAGTGGACGATAGCTTTGGTCATGTGACCTCTTATAGAACCTCCCCAGTAACGTAAGATTGGATGGATGTTCCTGAAGTAGGGAAAGAAGAGACAAGGAAATGCAGAGAAGACAAAGAACGTGAGACAGGAAGAACTCGAGAAAGTAGAAACCTTTTGCTAAAAATGAAGGAGTGGGGAGAATGGCAAGAAGATGGTGTCCACCGAGAGGTGCTGCTTTCAAGGGAAATTTCACAAAGGCTGACCCGTTGGTAATGAATGTTATATAACCCTTTTAATGCTTTAAGCCTCTTAGATTTTTCAGAGGGCTCTCCACGCACTTCCTTCGTTCTCCACCTCTACTACTACTACTACTACTACTACCACGATACTACCACTACTTTAATACTACCCATTTACCGAGTACTCTTTGCTGTTACCGCGTGGCAGAAGTGGCTTGCCAACGCCGAAATGAGAAAAGAGTAAGGTAAAAAAAAAAAAAAGAAAAGGAAGGAGTATGAAAAGGGAAAGAGCTCGAGTGAAAGCTGCGGAGGTCGTGCCTCCGGGGTAGATAATTATGTGACGGACGTAAATTAAGCTTGTTTAGATTGGGATTTTTATTAAGGTTTTTTATGAAAGAGTACCGTTGGTAAACGGCACCTGGAACACTTTAACAACGTTGGAACACTTTTAAACGGCGACTAAAGGGTAAACCTGTATAGCGCTTGTTTCTATCTTGATGTCTTTTTATTTTATCGTAGATACGTTATTTTTCTTTTATTTCATCTTTCGTTCAAGATAAAGTCCTCGAAATCTGGATTTTTATTCGTTTCGTGAATTATCTTTCGTTCATAACAAAAATGAATACACGTTAGATTAAAATTTAATTAATCGAATTATCAAGTGCGAAACTTTCAATAATTAATATAAATAATATAAGAATAATATTTAAAGAAGAATTATAGTTAAGATGAAAGGAAATAAAAATCAATAAGAAAAATAATTTCCGTTATACTGAAAGATCGTTATATAAAATCTATAAATAGATAAATGTATGTATATATATATATAGTATATAAAAGTTCCATCGTTGTAAAAGTTTATAACGAAATGAACGAAAGAAGATGTCGAAAGAGCAACGTTTTGATTACCAGGAAACATCTCCGGACGTCTTGTCGAAGCGACGACGCTTGACTGCTCGAGTATTAAAAATCGAGATATAACGTAGATTTTGTAAGGTAGTTTTGCGAAGCCAAGCATGCTCGTTCGTTCCGTCGATTAGGCTTTGCAGTCATTAAAAGTTTATAAAGAAGTCAAGGTACGAGGCGCGGGAACGACGTGCGGAGAGGTATGAGGTGGCAGGTAGTAGGGAAAACGGGGTTGCTACCCCCTCGAATGAGAGCAACGAAGGTAGTCCAGCGGTGAGAGAAGCGGAGAATAAAGAAAGGAGAAAGAGAGGGTGGGGGGGGAGAAAGAGAGAGAAAGAGAGAGAGAGAAAGAGAGAGAGATGAGAGACTCCAAGCAAGTTTTCTCATGTGCAATGCATAATGAGAAAAGGCAGACGGCGCATAAAGGGCTTACAAATGAGGTTCGAGCTATATGTATATACATTTTGCACGTATATATATATATATATACACGTACGAATAAACAACACATTTGCAAGAACGACGTTACGTAATCTCACTGTTGTTGCACCGTTGTTGCAACATTACTGGAACACTAGTAACAACGAAAATAATTCTTCTTTTAGACTCTGGGATAATGTTGAATAGAAAATGTTGTATGCAAAACACAAAAGATAAGGAAGAGATAAAATAAGATAAATTTGATAAAACTTATTATCTAATGTACGTACCTTGTTCATGATTTGGCGGGGATAGTCCCGCCTTGCAAGGGACGACTCTGTAACAAAAAAAAAAGAGAAAAATAACATTACATAGTTGAATCAATGGTACGATTACCTTAACGAAGGATTGCTAATGTAAGGCACGTTTCTATCGCGAACGTGGTAGGTCTGTAAAAAGGGATAATCTTCCTATCTCTACTATAGAGTGACCTTTAACCCTTTTCTCTCTCTTAGGTGCTTTCTGACGAAGGCTAATGCACGTTGGGTGGTGCTTGATCGTGCACCCAAGCCAACAGCATCACCACCCAACCTCTTTCCCTTGCGTCTCCGTCCTCATAGGGTACCACCGAATTCTCCTAATCTAATGAATGGCCTAACCCCAATATCCTTTTGGTTCAGCCTTACCGCCGGCTACCCCTATCTACTCCTTACTGTATGTATCCTGTATGTAAATATGCTCACGAGTTCAATGTTCATCTATGTATGCGTTTATGAATGCGTTTATATGTATTGGCCAATAAATAATACTATTTTTTAAAGCACGAAACTTGTTTTTAAGATAATTAATTATTCGGACATTATCGCAATTAGTGCACTCTTGCAAGGGCACCCCCTTTTTCGTTTCCGTTAAAACGAACATTTTTCCTAATTCCTATTTACGTTTCTTCAATTTCCTTTTCTCAAAGATGCGACAGTCGTCGTCGTCATCGTTGTTGCCTAGGTTGTCTACGTCTTTGGTACTTCTGCAAAAGGAAGAAAACTACGCTAAAAGAGTATTGATCGTGGAAAGATTCGTAAAGATCGATCGTTACTAACCCTGGCGAACTTAAATCGTGAAAGGTTACCACTGCAACGAAAACGAGAAACTCGAAATGGCGGGTAAAGGAGACTTTTGCACAGAGCAAGGAAGAAATTAGCGGAAGTAAATTGGCGTGAAGTTGAAGTTTTCAATGTAGTTCGTTAAGGTATAGTGGACCGAGTTCGATAGGGTGCCCGCCGGGTACGCGCCTTTATGTAACTGTCTGTGCACGTATGCGTTCGTCCGTTCGCCCGCGCGCGTGTATATGTGTGTGTAGAATGAAAGAAGAAGCTATAGCGAGATAAGGAAATGGACGATTTAAAAACTTGGAGATCGGATCCATTTTCTCTCGCCACGATAGCTAATTAACGTAGAATCTCGATTTACCAAAGGTATATACATTGAACGAAAAACTAATCTCGCGTACGCGTACAGAACAAACTACGAGTATTGTCCTTTAACTATAAAATAGACTTCTTCTTCTTCTTCTTTTTTTGCTTCTTCTTCTTCTTTTCATTCTCGAAGAATTACTTTTTAAAGGATAGAAGGGAGGTGGGTGTATTCTTTTTGTCAGAGGAGAACGAGTAAGGTAAAGCAGCAGCAAATGTGTTTATTTTGGAGGAATAATAAAAAGGGTCGTCGGATGAGCATGACGTCGTGGTGATCGTAGGAAAGTTGGAAATAATGTTTCGGACACGAGGCTCGTCTGGGTTCAGGCTGGCCTTATACCCTTAGCCAGTGCTACCGAGACGAATGCCGTGGCCTCCTGTTCCCTACCCTTATACGCGTGTCCGCCGCAGATTCAGACTCCTAATTAAGACAAGGGTGCGAGAGGGGTTTTAGGGGTTTCTGCCGAGTTCTCATCGACGGGGGACGGAGCGGGAGCGATGGCCTGGCCTGGCCTGGCCTGGGGAAGGAAGGTTTTCACGAGGTAAGGGTACCCGTACCAAACTGAAGGAGGGCTAAACCAAGGCAAAGGGGGTAAGGAATATTGATCACGGAATACCACACCATGTCGAAGCAGGGACTGTCCACACTCACACCCCTCTTGCTACTACTCTTCCTACCTCTTGCCTTGCCCCCTCCGAACTCCTCTCTATCAGTGGTCTTTCCTTCCTTTTTACTATCCTTCTCTCTCTCGCGAGACGGCACGGACTAAGCCAAACTAACCACCAAACGCCAGATGCGTGAAATCAGTCGGTTAGAACCTGCCTCCGCAGACTTTGCGAATTATTGACGCTAAAACCGCGACTAAGGTTGCAGATGCTGCTGCTACTGCTGCTTCGAGCTATTTCGATTCCATCCTGTTTCAAAGCGGAACTTGATAAACACGGGATCAACGATCAAAACTTTCCAACGTATGGATCTCTTTTGATTACCGACTAAATGTTTTATAAATTATTCGAAAGTTACAAAAAATATTTAAAAGAATATCTTATTAAAGTCGAGTACATATAAAATTTGTTAAATGATTTGCGAGAGAAACGCGAGTCTCTTCTTTTTTCTTTTTATTTTCGAACCAAAAATATATCTTAAATTTAAACTAGCAAACGCGCGAATAGACTGCGATTTCGTGAGTTTTGCGATAGGAGAACTCCTCGAATAGCAAAGATGAAGAAGAAGAAGAAGAAGAAGAAGAAGGTGGAAGATCTTTGAGCTACTACTCGTGTCTCTACGATGGAAAGAGAAGAAGGGATGGTTCGAGTTTACATGACATAGCGACTCGTCTTTCTACCCGTCGCCTCGCCTTAATTAAATCTCGACCCTTCTAGAAGAAGGCACACGGGTCTTGTGGAAAGTAGGAAAATGTTCTCCTCTCTTTGGCCTGCTACTCACTGTCACAAGAGATTACTCTTCGTTAAAGTAACTTTTACAAATTTCTAATGTTACATTGCGCATATACATATATATATATATATATAGAAAAAGCAATAAAAAAAAAGATACGCATACAAAATACCGAGGAATTATAATCAATAAAACATAGCCGTTTGAATCTGAATGTAATTGCAATGCACTTTGAGGGCTAAATATAACCCTTTACTTCGAATACTTCAAAGAACAATTCACCATTTCGTGGGGGTTGGCTGCCGTTATTTGGTCCGATAACGAATGTCAAGGGCGACCTCAAGGAGACCGGAAGAGAGACCTCATTGTCCAAGAGCAAGGGAGGATAGGAAGGTACCTACGTAGCAGCACCGGTAGGCAGCCAACTCAAACTTTGATATGGTTTCCTAAATAACCAAGGCGACCGATACCGCAACACGATGGTTCGTCTCTCTCTCTCTCTCTCTCGCTCTCATCTTTGCTCCTTACTGAACTGATCTGTAGCAGTGGTCCAGAGGGTACTGTAACTACCATCGAAGCATATTGAAAGCCTCACACCAACGGTGATTTAACTCGATGCCCCGCGCCCCTCTCCCACCCCGAACCTCTACCTTTCGCACCTCACCTTCGAAGCCGATCTATGTCGTTCTCTTTCTCTACCTTCCTCCCTCCCTCCCTCTCTTTCTCTCTCTCTCCCTTTCTATGGAAAACCTCCAACGTGAGTGCGTTTGTCATTTCGTGAGTAAAGGCTGTCCGCATGGAATATAGTCCATAGACCACCAACGTTTTCCACAATATCGACCAAGTATGGCCAATATGACGACGGAACGACAGGTAATCTAGAAAGCAATGAGAGAGAGAGAGAGAGAGAGAGAGAGAGAGAGAAGGGGAATAGCGAAACACTAAATAAATTACCCGCAAACTACTATATTATCCTGAAAATGGAAACTTTGGTAAGCTGTATTTTACGGATTAATTCATTTGAAAATTTTACCCCGAGGAAAAAGTTACAGCTAATAGATTACGTGTCTACCGATTTTAATTCATAGAAAATGCCGGGTTACGGTCATACTAATGAAACGAAAATAAGTTAAGTCTCATTTCTGCTGCAAACGCATCGGCAATGTACCGCCAATGGAAAAGTGAAGAAACGAAAGATGATGAACTATCTCGGACAAACCTAGAACTTCAGTTTCTTCTTCTTCTTCTTCTTTTTCTTCTTCTTCTTCGTCGGCAGGCCACCACAGACCAATGGCATGTCTGTATCTCAGGACTAGCTATTTGTCCACTAATTAGAAGCTAACAGCGGAACTAAAGTACGAACTTTAAACTTTCTTGCTCTTGTACAATCCGCCTACTACCAAAGCTTTTCGAAGGAGTCCCTCCTCCCTTTTTGAGAGGGTGAAACCACTACTTGAACACGATCACCATTTCTCTCTCTCCCTCTCTCTTATTCACTCTATTTCTTTTTCATTTTCCTCTCTTCATCTCTTTTTTCACCCTTTCTCTCTCTTTCTCTCTCTCTCTCTTTTTCCCTTTCTTTTTCTTCTTCTTCCTCTTCTTCATCCTTCAACTACAAGCGGCTAGCGTTAATTACTAATTAATCGTTTCACGTGTTTGATTTTCAAATGGATAAGTTAAATAGCGCGTAAGAGTTTCGAAAGTCCACCCTAGCAATCCCCATTTCTTTCGGTTATATTCTCCTCTACATGCAAACGATATACCAACGAGGTTAACGAGGTTGGAATGACTGTGTGAACGAGAAAATGGGGTAAAACATTGCTTCATTTTTCTCACATGATCGTTCGATATCAGTCAAAAAAAAAGCAATACTCTCTCTCTCTCACTCTCTCTCCCACTTTCACTCTACAATAGAAGTTTATGGTCTATTTGTTTGTTTTTTTTTTATTTTCTTTCTTGCGATAATCGAAAAAAAAAGAAAAAGAAAAGACACGTTCCAGTTTAAAGTGGTAATTGTCGAAAGTAAATTTACGAATACACGAGGACGATGCTAGCTCGAGAAACGAGGGAGGAAATAAATCTCAAATAATCGGAACACAGTCAGACCAAAAGGAAGACTGTTATTGACTACCGTGCGAGACCTTTGCAGGGGGTGAGAAACGAAAAGAGAGAGAGAGAGAGAGAGAGAAATTGAAAGAGAAAGAGAGTGAGGGGGGKGGGGTGTCGTTGAACGAAAGCTCTGGGCAAATCGTTGTCTTAACCAACGCATTGGGGGAACAATTATTTAACAGGGTGCCTAGCCTGGCACTCTATTCTCGCACTCTACTATAGTTACGTTGCCGTATCAGAGAGGCGAAAGTCCGGGACTGTTAATTGCTGGCTGTCAGGGGCACGCAAGTGACATGGACCTACCAGTCGTCGAGGGTTTTCCTTGTCGAAGTCCGTATACGCATCTATCGAATCTGTTCG